AGTTGGTGGCCACCGGGGTTTTTAGGGGACAGGCGCAGTGATGACACCTGCCTCCATCTGAGGCACCCCAGTGAAGATGGCCTGGCTTAAAGTCCGGAGGCTTCTCTGCAGCGAGCTGCTTGTTTCAGAGATTCTTTTGTATGTTTTGGGATCATGGCCCTTATTTCCATCTTTTCCAGAGAAATGAACTATTGGCATATGCCCTGCTGGGTGTGCCTGCTCACCACATTGCTCCGCGCCACCGGTCCTAACAGCATCTTTTGATCTCTTTTGAGATTTATGGGTCTCTGAAATAAGGCCAATAAATGAGCTTATATAGCTGAGCCGGAAGTGGTTTGTGGGTGTGGCTCCCACATGCCTAACTTTCGGCTGTTTAGTTTCTTGGTATACTTGGCCCCAAGTTGCTGGGGTCTGGCCAAAGGCACTGCAGCAATTTTGGGGTATCTGGAAGCCTGAAAACACCATCAGGCTGCTGATGCACTCATCCCGCAGGTACAGGTTGACCTCCAGGTGGCACCGTACCTCCACAGACAAGGTTTTTTAAAGCATCACTCAATCTCTCAACACACTGCCCTGGGGGGAGTGAGGATGGGGAACAGCCCCAAATACAACTTCATAGCCTGGGTAATCCTTCATTATTTTATAGGCTGACACATGCTTTCAAGTTCTCCTGCATGCGTGCTCTCTCAGCTCCCTTATCTCTTCTTAAAACATATTATCTAAAAATCTATTTTTATTCGCATTGTAGTTATTTACTCATTTGAAGCAACTTTTCTAACTGTCCTTATTCAAAAAATTGGTTAAAATCTTACGGGCCTTGAGCAAATTTCTGTAATTTGCTCAAGTTCCGTTGACAAATGTTTAACCTGGGATTCAATCCCAGGAAGACCTACTCCAGTAGCCATCTTTATAAAAAGCTCTGCATATGGCAAGGATGATATTTGTTGCTTTTTTGTGCTGCAAGAACAAATCTTGGGAAATCCTAATAAATGTATTTGTGAAATTTCCGTATTTCTACCCAAGATTAACAGTAAAGGAAGTTCTAGGAATGTCCCATGTGAAGAATCAAAGTGCCAGCCCTAAACTTTAAACATTCTCTCAATTACCAGTGGATAAACAATGGGTTGCATTATCATAAAATTTAATACTACAATGTAAATCATATGAGCAGCATGAATAATACTAAAATATATTATTCTGAGGGGAAATAGTGAATGATAGTTTCAATGTAAAAGCCTGACTTTGTATATGATCCTCTCTAAAGGCCTAGAGAAAGTCTAGTGTTACTGTTTAAAGAAGTTTCCTTGCAATTTTAGATTTTTAGTTCATCTTAAAATGAGGCTCTATTTATGGGAATCTTTATACAAAGCTAAGAATATTTTCAAGAGCAATTAGTTTTATGCTTGGTTCAGCCAGTGAATAACTCCTCTTCCTTATTAGTTTGTTGTTTTCTGTATATTTGTTTTGTGGGGCGACATCCAGTGTGTGCTTTGCAGTCTCGAAATCCCAATATTCAAACCATAATCTCCCACATGTAAAACATACATTCAGCCCATCGAGTTATCTTCCTGGTCCTTCTTTTAAATTAGATTTTTTAGTTTGGAGACTTGTGAAACTATGAAACTAGTATTCCAGTTTCAATTTGTAATCACCAAGCTTTTGATAATTATTTCCCAAGGAAGAGTATTATTTTTCAGCACAAAGATCTAATGAAGATGAATTCACTTTTTGTAGCCTTGTGTTAGTGAGATTTTTTTTTCCACTGTTGTAGCTGTGAATGTTACTTACTTTCAATTCCAGCTTTCCATCTTGCTATAATCAAACACACTAATCATATGCGGCCATTAAAACACATTCTGTGGTTACTGAGGGGAGAAGTTCACCACAACCAATGCTGTCACTGGCTTGGCCTTAGTACCAGGTTGTTTATTTTACTCATGGTTTTTGAGGCTATAATTTTTTCTTTTGTGGTGAGTGCTGCTTTTAAAAATATATATACTATCTTTCAGCCAACATTTTTAGCTTTTGTAGCAGAAGGATTTTTTAAATTTTCTGTTCCACAGTGTTCTCTTCAAATAAATTTTGGAAATGCTAAACTCTTAGGAAATTCAAATCATTAGCCTGTTCTAGAAGAGCAGGGTGACCCTTCTGAAACAGTATGCACCAAGCTCACTTCTGACCTGAATTTACCCCCAAGTCCTCATTACATTTGAATATTATGGAGATGATTCTCCCTATGGGTACTCAATCATTGTATAACTAAAATCCAAGCACAAAAAATTTTAAGTCTACAACTGTACCTCATGGTGTTTCACTAATAAAAATTTTTTAAAAATCATGTATTAACTTTTACTTTATTTGTGATTGCAAGGATTTTACAGCACACAGGCTTGTGTTTCTACTAGTGGATGTAACAAATCTGCAGTTTTTAAAAACAAATGCTAATAAAGCACAGACGATACTCATGTTTGAATATTATGGAAAGTATAATTTGCACTAGTAAGAAAAAATACAATTTAAAGTCTCTGAAGGATGACTTGGTGCCACGGTATCTTCATGTGGTTTTGGCCACAGCTGGTTCTCATCTATGGAACAGTCAGAGATATGAAAAGTCTTAAAATACCCTGCATGGTCTTGTTATTAGTCAAAATAGTTAAAAGCTGATGATCTAATCAGAATAGTCATCACTGAATGTTACTGAGATTCATGCTTAGAATTTATTCCATAGAAACTTAGAATTTGAAGGAAAATGGAAAAACGACAGTGCTGTAATTTTGTGAATCTAGCAGGCTGTCCCTTTGAGGTATAAATGTGCTTTGAATCTAAGAAACTAATTATAATTTAAAAATTTAGCAACTAAATTATGTCGCACCATTTACAACAGGGCATAAAAAAATCTGATAGCATAAGTATTTCTAAAGTATAAAATTAAAGAAGCATGATTCATATCTGTTAACTAGATTCAAACTCTTTATGGAGATTTATAGAGTATATAAATTATTTATAGAGTATATGCCACTGATTAGTTACAAAAATAAGTGAGAGAAAAAGCTTATCCAAAGATTAATATCAAATTATGCCTCTATCACTTTCCTATGTAAAAGGAAAATGATTTTCAGAATCCAATCCTAGGTCTGCAAAGAACTTTCCATAGAGATTATTGCTAGGGGTTCCTGTCTCCCTTCTCCACCCACATCACATACACAGCTTAAAGATTACTTGTGTACAGCTGAGCGCTCACAAATCTTTTTCAACTTCAACAACTAATACTGTTCACATGCATTAGTTAAACCTCATACTGGATCAGCTTTTATTTATTTCATTTTGAGTTACACACTGTGCTCAAGGCTTACTACTGGCTCTGCACTCAGGGATCGCTTCTTGTGGGCTTTGGGGACCATACGTGGTGCCAGGGATCAAATCCAGGTCAGACATGTGGAAAGCACAAATCCCCAAACCGCTGTACTATCACTCCAATACCTCATCTCCCTTATTTTAATATTTTCTTTACCAAGAAAAAAGCTCTAAGGAGGACAAACAATATTGGGTTCCAATGTATCCATTTCTCTCCTGTATTATGCATTCTTACTGAAATTTCTCAGGAACTTGTACAACACTAGTACAAACTTGTACAAACACTAGGTTACAAAGGGAAATACGATTAAGTCATGGTGGCAGAGATGTTAAGTGTCAAATCTCCCTGTTCTTAATAAGAACATGGCAAAATTTCATAGCCCGGCTTAGTGTATGGTGAGATGTGACCCTGTGACAAAGTCCTCTAGCTGGAAAGGCAAACGAAGTAAAGTATGTGTGGTTTTTGGCAGCCTAGTTTTCAAATCTCTCAGGAAAGCTCCTCACACTTTCCTCTTCTGATGGGTTGGGGTAAAAATGGCCACAGACACTTCAGAAGCCATGTGGTGATTGGACTTAAAACCAGTATGTACTGGATAGCATAGACTCTCTTAACCTGAATCCCAGAAAACCCATGGGAAGAAGGGCGGTGACTGCCAGTGATACCTGACACGAACAGAGTCAACTGTAATAATATATTTGTCCTAAAGATCCTGGGATTTGGGAGTCTGTACTAACATTAGTAACCTCATGAAATTCACATATTCAAAGCAAGAATTCCTATTATTGTGGAGTACCTGCTAAAGTTCCTTCAAGATTTGCCCACTTCAAAAAAAAAAAAAAGTGGACTGTTTTGCAATTCAAGGTGATTGGCTTCAAAAGTTGTGATGTTACCTACCAGGAAGCATGTATGACCATGTTTATGTAGGCTAAAATACCATAACATATGATGATCTGGGGTGGGGGAGGTTTGGGACTAGTCCCAGCTGTGCAGAGGGATCACTCCTGGTGGTACTTAGGGGACCGTAAGAGGTACCAAGGACTGAGCAGGGGTAGCCACCTGCCAAACAAGTTCCTGCTGTACTTTCTCTCTTAGCTCCACCACAGTCATCTTGTATTTTTTTTCCTGTTTATCTCATAATCTCATATTTCAGACAGATAAGCATTTTAGCCTATTCTCTGAGAGAGGTGCTTGGTAGTATGGAAGTTTGAGAAATTTTTTTCTTACTATATACCCCTCTACCACATTTCAAAAGTGAAAAATCAAATCTCCATTATTTAATTCTGTTTGAAAGGGAACTCACTGAGAAGCATCCCCTCCCGCCCTTTGTGCTTTTATCTTGGCTCTGGTAGTGGGGAAGGTGAACGGTAGACCAGAAGCAAGACCATGTTAGTCCACAGTGTTTGGATGGACCAATCAGAGGCCTCTCTTGCCATTTGCTCCAACCTTGGCCTCAACAAGCCCCAATGACAGAAAGACATTCAAGAGATGCAGAGTTCTCACACACAATGCAACTGGTCAGGCTGAGCACATGGACTTATCCTTGATTTTATGCACTTGGCAGAGTTGGTAAAAAATACAGTTTGGGTTTCATCAAGTAAAAGAAAAAATGAGAAAGAAAAAAATAAGACTGCATGGAGAACAGGCACAGAGGAAAAAATAATTTTAACAAATATTTTCATTGCTTAAGCAAATTTTTGTGAAAATACATGAAAAGCATCACAACATTTTACCTTACTTTTCACTATCATAAGATTTCGATACAAATGGAAATTTACAATAAAATAAAAACAAAATATCAAAGAATATGTACAAATTTGTGTTAAGTTGTAATTCACGCTATTCACTGCTTGAAACTCTTATATTGATTTTCAATTCCAGTTGCTATAGATGCTATCTGAGGAAGTAAAACAAATATGAAGAGAAAAATAATTAAATATATCACTAGGCTAAAGAACAAAGCCTATTAAAAATAATATAAATAACAAATTTATAATGTATCACAAAACATTTTAGTATAAAAATGGCATCTGCACAAAGAAGCTACAGTTGTTAACAAATATGATTAAACTACATTGAAATCTGACAAAGCTATGAGCCCACTTATACATCATCACAGTTCACATGAAACTTTACTGAGAATGAGAGTATCTGACAGTCACATCCTGATCTGAAGCTTTCAAAGGCCTTTTACCTGAGCCTCCTGATTCAGAAAAGCTTTCACCTAGCTTCCCCCCTCAACATGCATCAGAGCTGACTCCAGTTTGGCTTTTCAAAACAAGCTATAATCTTCTCAAGACGACCAAAACAGGACTGAGGTAACAAGATACCACTAAATAAGAAGGAAACTGTTGGCACAAAAGACTGACACGAACACTTCCCAAAACGTTATATTTGGTAGGATCAGTCAGTTACACATTTTTATAACACTAGCAGAAATAACACTTCAACACTGTGATGAAGAATATAGATAAAACACTGTTATACATTAGCAAATGAACCTTCTTCTCCGTTCTTTCTTTCACTTCATACCATTTTAAGATTTTATGCTGATAACTAAGATGTACACCCTCCTTTTTTCTACTCTGGGGGAATATTTCTCAATGGATTAACTCTTGAATGCTTTAATAATAAACTTTCCTGGAAAGACATTTTTAAATCATTTACTCCAAAGACTGTGATAACACTCAGGCTCCGTAGACATAAGTATCTTCTAAATGTTTAGCAACCACGGCTACCAAACAAAGGTTTAGGAAATACAAGTTAAAATTTGGCTTTCTCCGAGTCAAAAATCAAACAGACTGTCCAAAGCTTGTTTATTGACCACTATAGCAATTGTGAATTTTTTTTTTAATATTAGAGGTCTGAATCTAACAGAGACCATGTTTATGAGAACAGATTCTTGACCAGGCAGTACAAAGTACAGCAAGTTAAGTGAGTCCTGCGTCTCCCCAAAACCAACCTTTTTATTTCAAAGGAAGAGGAATGACTATATGTTCTGTCCATATGAGCTCTCTAGTCAAGTTGGGATGGTTTTGCAGATCTAGAACAAGAAGAATAATTAAGAAAATAGAAAAAAATAGAAAGATATTTCAAACTTTCCTTCTAAACAATGAAAAGGTACTTTACTCCTATTACTAATATATGAAGTATGGTACCCCTATTATAAAATGCAGATTTATATATTTAATTATTCAAATTAGGATTTAACATAAACACTATAAGGGAAAAAAATAACTGAAATTACAACACAGGGATGTCCAATTATTATTTAATTTTAAAATCCAGTTGTCATTGAGTTGAATTCTGGTCTAAAAACATTAGTTACAGAAAAAAATTTATAAAAAATCCCTTCAAATGTTCAGTCTAATTTTAAATTATTTTTGGCTAACAATTCCCCTTTAGTTTTATTTTACATTTGAAAATAAACTTAATGACCTTAAGTGGAAAGAAATAAAATTAGGTACTTATCAGACTATCAATAAAACTTCTACTTTTTTAAAAATGAAAAATGGTTCCTACAGTCTCAAAATTAAAAATTTTAACAGACCCTCCTAACAGGTTTCTCTCCCCTCCCTCAAATTATTTTTAATGAGAAAGAAAAGACCTTTTTCTTTTTAATTAGGTGCTATCTGGGGTACATTTGGAAATTAGCCTTACATTTTTAAAAAGCTAAAATAGCTTTTTTTTTTCCCTTCTCACTCTTCTGGTTTTCAGTAATCCAGTTGGCATGTGCACAGGCGCACACGCAAGTTGACTGGTGAGCACACACAATTTTCGTGTGGCAAGAGGTCTATCTGAACTCCTTCCATATCTCTGAATGGGAACTTCATCATTCTGAAAGCTTTGTTTTGGCTGCTTCTAAGAGGAAGCTACACAGTGACAGGAGGCAGGTCCAGCTCAAATCTGAACCAGTTCCTGCTCTCTGGGAGGCAGAACTATCAAAACTGCGGCACTTCGGGTGAGGATGCGGCAGAGACCTGCATGGTGGGAGGGGCAGGTGAAGACCAAAGTCTCTCAGTTGTTCATTTCTCTAAAATCTAAATTTTGCCAGAATAAAAACTCTTTGTGTGAGGCTTGCTATGAGTTTATTCAACTAAACTAATGTAGAGAAAGTTTCAGAACCTCATCGTATGTGAGCCTGCCTTCAGAGTAAGTTAACACAGGAAAGGGTTATCTAAACAGTCAGGAAGAAGAATGCTGCATATTTCTTTTTAAAGATGACAGAAACTTTTTGAATTTCATAAACCTGTTCTACTTATTATTCTGTCTGGACTCAAGGGGAACAGGATCAACTCTAGTCATCTTTCATAAACTTGAAATCTAATTCTATGCATTTATTCTAGGACATAAATCAGGTAAGCAGTAGATGTATGGATTTTTCAAAAAGAAACTGGGCCCCCTGGGTACTTAGGGTAGATTGAGTATTGAGAGATTTACAGGGATACAATTCTATATGAGATTAAGAAAGAAGGAAATGAAACAAAATCTTTCATTTCCAGATACTCACTTTCATTAATTCTTTCACCAAAAGCACATCACAGAAAGAAAACCAGAAATGATATTTTTCAGTTATTATTAGAGTGGCTCAAGAGCCAGAGAACCCCTTGAGATGAAAATCAAACAACACAGCATTTAAGGTTTCTTCACAAGACTCCCTTATACCAGGAAAGACTTTGTGCTTCAAAAAGAATACTGTTAAGTGAACTCTGGGGAAAAAAATCTACTACATTGTGGCAAAAAAAAAAAAAATCCTGTAAAACCTCTACTTCCTTTTGAATCTCCAAAGATTACAACATTTCATTCAAGATGCCTGGCAGTCATGGCTTCATGAACTGTGGTTCCTGATTGTCTCAAGTCTTAAGCTGGAATAAAGGCAACTGACGGCAAGTTGGCTGCTGTCTTTTGTTGGCTTTCTCTTACGAAGGAAGTCTGGTGAAAAGTGTGGGAAGCCAGTAGGCCCACAGTGGGAAGCTGGAAAACTTCAAGAAATAAAATTTAACAAGGACATTTAGAACACTGTGATGATCTCTAAGCTACAATACCCTGTCGGGCCTTCTCAATTTATATTTCTAAAATTGTGTGCCATGTACTATACTGATGTTTCTAAGAGTCTGACAAAAATTAATACTCAACCTAAGAAGAGAAGCAAGACCTCTGCTGCACTTTGAGGATGCTTGGGACATTTATTTTTGTCGCAGAGGACCTGAGTCTTGCCTCGGATTGTGCTAATGAGGGGGTTTAAATCCTCTGTCAAAGATGCTATAGTCCCAATGAAAAGAGCTTGTGCCCCACCGAAGTCCCCCCAAAGGAAGCTAACACCATGTTTGTCTATATCCTGATTGTCCTGCCCATAACATTCTCATAATGTTTATGAAGCTTAATGCCACGAGATCACATGAGTAGAGATCTTTTTTGAAGAGAAGCTTGCTCATTCAGGAAAAGGATTTGGTTTGAATAGCAGAGCAGAGGGAAGTCGAAGTATGCCTCTGGTCTGTTTCCTTGGGAATACTGCATCACACTGATGGTCCCTTACTAGCATGTGGAATTTTGCGCTTCCTCAGCATCTCTTCTGGCACCTCTGAGGCAGCTGCAGGGGGCTGCTCAGGGAGGTCTCCAGTCCCATCAGAGTCTGCCTCTTCCTGGGTCTCTCTCAAAGGCCCCTGATCCTGAGTGTCACCCTTTTCCTCATCCACACAAGAATTAGAGTTATCTTCTTCCTCTTCTTCCTCGGCTTCATCCTCATCTCCAAGGTCTTCTTTCTCTTCTTCATCATCTACAAGGCTGTCCTTGTTCTCATCTTCATTAGAATCATCTTTCTCCTCCTCTACATCCTGTTCAGCTCTATGAGCCTCCTCTGACCCCCGATTCTGTTCTGTGGAAGAAAGAGAGGGAAGCGCCTCTGAATCAACAGCATTACCTAAAAAATCAATGAAGTGCTCTTAGCTATAAAATGAAACAGTGGGGGCCCCTGGTCACATGTCAGGAATCTCCACTTTGGAGCTGCACTTTCAGAGAGCAAAGCTCTCCAGTTGGTTTTCTATACCCCCATTCCAGACTTGTATCTGTCTCTGGAGATTTGTCTATTTACAAATTTTGGAAGAACATATGGGCAAGGAAGGCAAAAGTTCTTTCAGACACTGTGTTTTGAACCTTAGAGAAGGTACTAAAATGAGAAATTATGATTAAAGGAGAAAAACTCTCCTCTAAGGTGACTGCTAAACTGATAAAAGGTTAAGTGGGCATTGTTGGCATCCATGGAATCAGCCACGTGAAAACAGAAACCTAACAACGCTTGACCTTCTCTTGAAGTCAGAACATTCTTGGACTTTCCTTATGTAAGCTAATAAAATTTCCCTTCCCCTCCTAAATATTGTTAAACTGGACTACTGTTACTTTTAAGGAATTGATGGGATACTGGAAATACATTTTCTAATTATCTACAGAAGTCTCAAGGCCTCGAAAACCTCAATAACTGAAAATAAATATAAATTTACTTTAACTCCCATAAAATTCTATTATTATAAAGTCTCATAAAAGCCTTCATGAAGCTGTTAGGAGAGATGAAGTCATGAAATTTGCTTATAAGTGGAGAGTTTCATGCTAAATGAAATGAGTCAGAAAGAGAGGGACAGACATAGAAGAACAACACTCATTTGTGGAGCATAAAATAATATAACATGAGACTGACACCCAAGGATAGTAGACACAGGGGCCAGGAAGACTGTGCTATAGCTGGAAGCCTGCCTCATGAGCTGAGGGGAGAAGGCAGCTGGAATGGAGAAGGGATCACTAAGAAAATGATGTTTGCAAGGATTGGTCGGGATGGGAGATGTGTGCTGAAAGTAGATAAAGGATATACTGGGGAGATTGGCGGTGAGGAATGTGCACTGGTGGAGGGATGGGTGTTTGAACATTGTATGATTATAACTCAAACATAAAAGCTTGTAACTGTATCTCATGGTGAGTCAATAAAATTAAATTAAAAAAAATTAAACAAAAAAGAAAATTAATAAAAGGAAAAGCAAATAAGTATTTGTGCAGGGGCCAAAGGGTAGCACTTGCTCGGCATGCACTGGATACGGGTTCAATCCCCTAAACCCCACCTGGTCCCCAGACCCTGCCAGGAGTGATCCCTGATTACAGAGCCAGGAGTAAGCCCTAAGCACTGCCAGGTGTGTACTCAAAACAAAACTGAACAAAAAAGTCTTCATGCTAAGTCTCAAAATAGGAATAAAGATATTAAATTCTATCAGAAAATGTGGCATCACAAAAGGATTGGGAGAGAGCTTTCACATGACTTAGAATACAGAAACTTTTCAAATGAGTCACTATCCTCCTTCTCAATCCAATTAAATGAAAGAAAATTTATTAACTGATTAGTAAAGGGTATACCTAAATGGGAAAGTGCAATTGCCAAATGAAATATTCTCTAATTTAGAAAAATGGGGAAAGAATTGTTTTTTCAAGTCTACTTCGAGAACATAATGGTAGTGGTTTGGTCACTTAGAAAATCAGAGCAGAAACCAACATTTTATAGGAGTACAAGAGAGTACACTATAGACCAAAAAATACTCTATTAGACTAGTTTATAATATTTTACAAGACTTACCAACACGTTCAAACAGATGCCTAGGGAACGGCACATAGAAACATTCTGATATTACCACCAAGACCTAGAGAGAAAAACGTAGTTTTACAATGAATAGATAGGGCACTTACAATCACAGAACTTCCCAATTGGGCATTGTTTCTATAACCAATCACATATAATTAATTAACAGACCCCAAAAATGCAAGGATATCATTATGGATGTCTCATTTTTTTCAGTGTGACAAAATACAGGAAAACACTATTGATTTACCAATCAGAATTTCCCATTTCCATACTAAAACAATTAGGGAAGACTATTAATTTAGAACAAAGTTAGTGTTTATAGAGAGTGCACAGAAAATAGATGCCCACAGACCCCCACTGTAGCTCAAGTCATAAAGCATCTGTGAGGCCATGTCTGCCATCTATGGCACCATATCCAAACACCACCTGCCTCCTGCATGCCAGGTTTGAGTAGAGAACTATCAGATAGACTGAACATTTTCAGAACTAGCACTGGGAGACAATCCCCAAGGAAAACAAACCCTGATAAGCTCAAAAGAACCGTGATCTGAAGTTAAATGGGGTGTAGACTCTGGCACTCTGGTGGTCAATATGCACAGCAGCACTGCATATATGAAATAATTAATACAGGTAATATTGTAAAAAAATATTTCAAAAGAGAGTGGTACTAGAAATTTCTATAAATTCAAATCGTGAGAAAATGCATCAAGAAGAGGAACTCAATTACATTTTCAAAGTGATCGATTGACTTCACTTCTCTAATTCCCGATTCCCATGAGTTACTTTCTGCTCTGTGTAAGCATCCCATTTTCTTGATATTCTCCTTGAGGAACAGATTCATCCTAATCCATGGCCCTTGCCCAGCGTGAGCCACAGTGTTAATGTTGATGTACCATGTGAATGAAATGAACAAGTTGGCTAATGCTGGAATAATGTGGAATCAGTACTGACATCTTCCTCTACAATTACACACACCACAAGAGATCCAACATAGAAAGAGGCTGCCTGTTTAGAAAAGTATACATTTCTTCTCACAGCTAGCTAATACCAGAACTTAATCTTCACATTCACAAACTGTTCAATATGAAGCAAAAGATCACTGTCTCTGTTTTCCAGTCTTTTCTGCCTGTCTAGAGTTTTGCTGTCTCTCGTCCTTTAAAAGAGTTGCTGATGGCATTATGGAATTATACTGCCAGAGCAAACTGTTGCACCAACTATGCACTTAAGGGTCTTTCCGGTAAGAGGTTTGAATGCACAGTATATATTTGATTTCTAAAAGTAAGCCCTTACTTTACCTGTTAAAAATACTTTTCAGTAAACTATTTCAACTATCACAAGGTCCAATCAAGTAACAACACATAAAACTCAAACTAGCATTCTTGTTTGATTCTCCAGCTTTAAAATTTAGGGGAGGGGAGGAATCAGAAACTTAAGTTAACTGTACAGAAAACAGTAAGTTGATCAGGAAATCATTTCTCTAACCTATTCTGCCCCTCTTTGCTGCTGCCTAAGTTAAAAGCGTAAAGACTCTGAGGGATGGGACCTTGTCGTTGGGACTGGCTTCACCTGGTCCCAGAGGCGTCTGCTTTCCACTCCCATGCCAGTTCGGGGCAAAGGTAACAGAGAGCACTAAGCCACATCTTGATACCTAATTGAAAGAAAAAATTGAGGCTGTTTTCTGTGTGGTAGTTTTTTTTTTAAAACACATATTATAACTAGATATGGATTCTGAGCAGATGGGTGTGCTTTTTTGTTATTTTATGGGAAAGTATAACAAGTAATGTATAGAAGTTAATGTATGAATTTATTACTACTTTAAAATTAATATTTTGTCAGATGAATCTTTTCCAATTTTTTTTGTTTTTTTTTAGGGTCATACACAGCTGTGCTCAGGACCTCTGGCTCTAGACTCAAAACTCTACTCCTGGAGGTGTTTGGGGAACCCCATGTAGTGCCGGGGATCGAACCCTGGTAGTGTGCATGCAAGCTAGGTGCCTTAGCCACTACATTCTGTGCAGGACCAGCAGAAATGTGAAAAACAGTCATCTTTATATTTTCACATTCCTGTTCTGTTTGGTGGCGTGTGCATACTCCCTCCCTCCTCTCCCTTTTTTTGCTTTTGGCTCACCCTTGGGTGCTCAGGTGCTCAGGGCTTACTCCTGATGGGGCTTAGGAGACTATATGCAGTTCTGGGATTCAGGAAAGAGCTGACTACGTGCAAGAAGTGCCATAACCCCTACACAATCTTTCAGTCCCTCCTCACAACTTCATATACAAAAATGATGTTCTATATCACTTATTCAATTGATTAAACTAGATTAATCAACTGCTTTATTTTGTTTTGTCTTGGTTTTATATCACACCCAGCAGTGTTCAGAGCTTACTCTGGGCTCCAGTCCCTAGAATCAACTTTTGTCTATCTTCAGTCCAAGCCATAATAACCTTTCTACATTGAATATTGGAATTACTTTTTAACATTAACTTAGGACATAAGCATGCCCAAAGCTATATTTCTTGTTAATCTCAAAGATAAAATTCTAAACATTCTTTAACAAAGTAAAATTCTAAACATACTTTAAACTGAGAAGTTTACAGCCACCTTCTAATTTTTACTCATTCTACCTTCTTCCATCATTTCACCTTAGGATCTCATTTCTTCTACTTAGAAGAAAGAACCTCACACTCATGGCTCCAAAAAAATAGTGTAGAAAAATCTCTGACTGGGCATTGGATGGGAAAAGTATATTTACACTCAATTTTTTTTAGGTAAAGCATGACATGTGAATTAGTAATAAAAACCAATGCAATAGCATAGAACCCATCCAGAGCCCAAAGAATGTTCTATCCCCATGTGTGAAGTTAACAGCAGCAGAACAACCTCAAATTTATATTTATGTTTATATCATAACATGAAAGAGTATGAGGGTCTCTATAGAGTATAGTTTTGCCCAATCATGCTATGGCTTGCTATACTTTTTACGACCACTAAAAAACTATTATAAAACTTGAGGGTAAAGTTTGAGATCATGTTAACATGTCCTTTTCATATAAATTTTTAGTAATTATCAATTATTTTTATTGTAGAGTTAGGAGCTATGTCATTAATATACAGCAAAGTCAACCTTAATATACTGTTGTCTTACAGGTTAAAGAAAATCAAATTAACTAATGTAGAAAAAGAGAAAGACAAAATATTTATATCAAAGAGGTTAACAGTAGTTTATCTTTATAGTTAAGTAAATACATGTATTATTTCTACTCTAAAGATAGCTATGAAAAAATGCAGATATGACTAGGTAATGTTTTTATGCCCAACTAAATAAAGTGATGCATATTAATGCATCTTCAGTTTTTCCCCAAAATATTGACATTTTTTTAATCCATAATATCTCACAAATGTATCTTGGGAAAAACAGCGTGTGTATAAGCAGCTGGTTCAGATTAGAGGCTCAACTAGAGGATGTAAAGAAAAAGAAAATCAGCCTGTTTACTCAAGAAACAAATTTAGCACCTCGGAGCTTTTTGGAAAGCCAGGTATGAGCCAGTCATGACTGGGAGACTGAAACCTCAAGGGAAGGAGGGCGTTCCGGGCTCGTCCTTCACGCCCTACCAAGGTCACAGGTTGCCCCCCACGAGCGGCTCTCTGGCACGGCCATGGCTCTAAAGCCACTGAAACCAATCTCATAATTATCTGACTCTCGGCAGAAATACTTCCAGGCTTAATAAGTAAAATATTAGAAATCCAAAATCACGCGTGTCATCATTTGATTCTTGTAACCAGCTATAGAAACAAATTATTTCACAATGTCTTTTCAACAGGTCTGATCTGGGGGTGTAAGCTCTACATAATAATGGTGCATCTTTTGTCCAAACAATGAATCTAATCAAAGTAGATAGAGTGTTAACTAGAATTCATCTGCCACACAGGCATTGGGAGGGTTGGGAGGGCGTATATTGGGGTTCTTCTTGGTGAAAAATAAGTACTGGTGAAGGGAAATGTGTTTGATGATCGCATGACTGAGACTTAAACCTGAAAGCTTTGTACTTTTCTCACAGTGATTCAATAAATAAATTTTTAAAAAATTACCATTTTGTTTTTATCACTACAGTGTCCTGATCAAGTAGGCACTGTGAAAAATCACAGGTGATATGGTTCTCTTGGAAAAAGCAACTGTGGATTCAGAAAGGCCTCTGTTTCTCCTTTTATCACTGTCTGCACTCTGGGGAGCACACAACTGCAGAAGTTGTCAAGGTCAGAATTAGGAGATAATTTAGTGAATTCTTTCATAACAACTCAAATTAACATTGAAAGTAATATAAAATAAGCAGTAATACTACGCTGCCTCGATTATACAGTAACACACAAAGGACATGTATGTGCTTCTTTGTTGGCTGCTTTCTACTTTGGCATGAAACCTATACAGCTTTAAGGACAGGCTGGCGTTGTCTCTTACCAGACCCATGAAAAGGCCGAAAATCAAGGTGGCTAAGACGAAAAAGACGTAAGAACACCAAGCAGGAATTCCCAGGTTCACAGTGAAATAGTTGTGAAGATGCTATAATCGGAAAGAAAAAAAAAATTGACTTATGTGAACCACAAATGTGTTCAACTCCCTTTAAGCTGTTACACCAGTCTGCAAATTATTTTTCCATATATGAGCTCCCCAGCAAAAAATCAGAGTCTAACTCTATTTTAATGTCTCAACATAGAAATTGCTCAAATATCTCCCACTGACTTCTCAATTTAAAAATGTCAATACAATTAAAAATGCATAATTAACAGGTATTCAATGACGTGACAGATTTAATTTCTTAAGTAGGAGAAGATAAAGATATAAAGTCTCAGCAAGTCTTACTTATAGCTTCAACAATTATATTAAACAGTGTCATGTGTAACTGAAATATTTAATAATATCTGTTGAAGAAGGAAAAGATACCTTAACCAAAAAAACCCTTAACTTCCTTATGCACAGAAAATACAAACAACTCTTGTAGTGGAAACATGTCATCTGTCCTTTGTTGAAGGTATACACGGTCACCCTTTTATCTTTATCCTGGGAAATTTCTTATTAAGAATAATCAAGCATTCTAAGGCTAAGGGCAGAAAATATACTTAGGGGACAAGAGCAATAGTACAGCACCTTGCATGTGGCCAACCTGGGTTCAATTCCAGGCAACCCATAGAATTCCCCAACCCCCAACAGGAGTAACTCAAGTGCAAAGCCAGGAGTAAGTCCTGAGCACTTCCAGGTGTGACTCCCCGCTTCCAAAATATACAGGTTATATAATATTTAATATGTAAATATATAGTTGGGATATTAAATGATTGTTTCATTCAAAATGTTTTCAAAAGAAGTTCTAAAATTTACTGTACAGTTCTCTGGTTTAGAAAATTCCATGTACTAAAGACAGTTTATGCTTTTCTTGACAATTCAATGCCAGTATCAGGATTAACCTCTGAAATACCCAGTGAATGAGAAGATGTGGAGAGCTAATCTAGCTTGGTGCTGATGCATGGATGCATGTCTTGAGGAACTGGGTTTATAATTAGCTGCACATTCCCATTATTCATAGAATAAATCATGCAGTTATATGCTAGAGAGTCATATGCCCTTCCTGCAAAATAAGTTAATCCTCAAGAAACTTTTAAAGTTGCTTTCTCAAATTTAATAAATCATTTGCTTTTGAATCACAGCAAAGCCAAACTTTTTTTTTAACACAGTCAAAAACATCCTCTAATTTTAATAGGTGCCACTTCAACCGCCTTATTTGAAAAGTTTATGCTTCAAATGATTTCTTTGGGCTACTTAGAGAGACCCTGCCATCTTGTGGTCTTTCATGTGATTTGTATTGAAGTTTCATTAAGCAAATTCCGTTTTTGCAACTATAAACTACAAATCTTTGTCTTCTGTCTTAAACCAACAATTGTTTTAGAGCACCAAAACTATAGTAGTATTTGAGATCTGCTGTATATTTCCAAACAATAACTAAACTGAATACAATTAAATTTTATATTTCTGTGTTTATTTTAATTACCTAGAAAAATAACAGTTCTCACTTAGGTAAGTAGTATTCCTTGTTCAATATTATATATGCTCACTACACAAAGTACTTTATTTTGTTTCCTTAACATACCCAAGAATTTTTTTGATGAGACTCCTGGACCTACTGCCTCTTATTATACTACGACAATAGATGACTGAGTTAGAGCTAACTTTGAGTTACAGTTAGGTTTAAGTAACAATGATGGCACCATTAAAAGTAGAATAAATGCACAGAATATTCTAACCAGTGATAAGACAGACTTAAGGAATAAAGCCAGGTCAAAGCATCCAAATAAGAGGTAGGTAGAGACTTCATTTCACAAGTTGGCCAGCTTCCCCTCTGGGATCTGAATGACTGAAAGGCAGACCAAACACTACTCAACTATATGTACCTATTTTGCCCAATGTTACACAGTTCTCATTCAGAGATGGAACAGCACTCAAGATAAAAAGTCCTTTAGACTGAGATTCTACTCATGCTAGAGCCTAGATCCTAAGGAGGTGTGGGGCAAGCCCTACATTTTCAGACTGGATCAGGATCCTAAAAATACCTTTCCTGGGTAGGAATAGCTCATAAAAACTTCTTCAGTGGTGCCAAGGAACGGTTCCTCTTGGATGGTTTCATCTCAACACTTGCAGTAAGATATAATCTTAGTCTCTTAAATGTTGTGGGTTGCATGTGAAGTATCTTAGAGATCTGTACTATTTCACTGTGATACGATGCTGACTGATTTTATAGGGGGAAAGTGCAAAATCATAAGAGATAAGGTGCCATTTTCCAGATCAGTTATGGGAGGGGAATGTTTTGGAGTTTTACAATACATTCTGGTGATTGTTCAGCCTAAACACTCATGACTCTTAATTTTAAGAATAAGGCATTTATTTTATTTTTTTCTGCTTTTTGGGTCACACCCAGCAATGCTCAAAGGTTACTCCTGGCTCTGCACTCAGGAATCACTCCTGGCAGAGCTTGGTGGACCATATGGGATGCAGGGAATTGAACCCAGGTCAGCTGCGTGCAAGGCAAGCGCCCTACCCGTGGTGCTATCACTCCAGCCCCGAATGAGGCATTTGTAAAACATTAAATCTTCATCACCTAGACTCTGATGCAAAGGATACTACTATAACTGAATTCTGAAGAGAGGTCACTGTCACTGTCACTGTCCTGCCATTGTTCACTGATTTGCTCAAGCGGGCCCAGTAACATTGTGAGACTTGTTACTGTGTTTGGCATATCGAATACGTTATGGGGAGCTTGCCAGACTTTGCCGTGTGGGCGAGATACTCTCGGTAGCTTGCTGGGCTCTCCAAGAGGGGCGGAGGAATCAAACCCAGCCCGGCCCGGCTGGCTGCAGGCAAGGCAAACACCCTACCCGCTATGCTATTGCTCCAGCCCCTGAAGAGAGGTGAGTTAGATAATACACTAGGATTAGTGAATAGCACAAATTAATCAACTACAATAAAATTATGGTTACGTACACTAAATTGTTAAACCTAGCTAGCAAAAGAACATGTCGTCTAACTGCCAGTGTATATGCTATTAGCTTTGGTTAACAATAAATGAATAAAAAGATAAAATGCTCCCTGTTGCCTCATAAAAGTTAAAAAAATGACATCAATATTGATATTGAGGATATGAATAAGACAAAGTTAAGAAGTACACACCAGGGGCCAGGTTCTTGGCTAAATCATTCAGCATTTAAGAAACAGCCGTCTATAATAGGGAAAGCAAATGGGTTTTGAGACAGATACACAAAGTAGAGAACAATGACTAGGCTGTCTGAGGGAGGTTAATGGCACTCAAATCACTCTGGCCAACAGTGAAAAGAGATGAAAAGACAGAAAGACTTGCAAGTCTCTCTACAAATGTGCACAGATAAACCCTAGGATTCCGAACTCCTGTGACAACTGACCTGTTAATAATGCTTCCCACACTAAGTCCTCTGCATACTTACTTCAGAGGATTGGTCCACCTTGTACTGTCCTTTAGATTCTGAACGTTTCATTAACTTGAATCACTTGATTCCAGAGAAACTTTGTATTTCTACTGCACTGTAGCACTGTAGCACTGTCCTCCCGTTGTTCGTTGATTTGCTCGAGCAGGCACCAGTAACGTCTCCATTGTGAGACTTGTTGTTACTGTGTTTGGCCTATTGAATATGCCACGGGGAGCTTGCCAGGCTCTGCCGTGCGGGTGGGATACTCGGTAGCTTACCGGGCTCTCCGAGAGGGATGGAGGAATTGAACTCGGGTCAGCCACGTGCAAGGCAAACGCCCTACCTGCTGTGCCTATCACTCCAGTCATGATTCAATTTTGTACTAAAATTATAGAACAAATTCATCTCTTGACCTTTATCATAGGTCCTAAGCTTTTCACCTTCTATTGTTCCTCACAATGACCAATCATAATTATCCTCTACATAAAGACAGTCTGAGGAAACAAGGCTCTTGATGTCTATTAAGACAGATTTCTGTCAAGCTTTAGTGTAAATACGCTAAAAAAAGAACCTCTTTTTCGCAATTCTCAGTTTTTAATTACTAATTGTCAGTCTGTGAATAAACATCTAATTTTAAGAAAACAGTAACTATAAGAAACCATAAAAAATCAAACACTAACAATCAGAGCAATTCTGTTAGATGTGGCAGAAATAAGTCCACCTATAAATAAAATTCAGCCAAAGGTTATTTGATATACTCAAGATTATATAATGTTCAATATTTGAACTTAAAATTTTTTCACTAAAATGACTTGGTGAAATAAAACAAGCTATACAACTTTTTTTTTTTCTCCAAAGGACAGAGAGTAAATATTTTCAGCTTTTAGATCAATTCTCCACAGTATGAAAGAAATCATAGATAATGGGAAAAGTAAAGTAAAGGCCCACCCGTTGATCATCGATTTGCTCGAGCGGGCCCAGCGGTGCCTAAGGTTTGCCTTAGGCGGTATAGATAATGGGTAATAATGAATATAGCTATTTTCCAATAAAACTTTATTTATAAAAATACATCAGCTCACAAGCTATAGTTTGCAGATTCCTGACATATAAAATCACTTTCCAATGTAGGTTATTTTGACAACAGAAAACAAGATGAACTGATAAATTTATCACTAACCTAAAAAAAAAGACTGATTATTTAGATTTTTGTTCAATTTATGCTTTTCTACACAGACTTTTCTTCACCAGGGAACCCATGTAAGAGTAGATCAGAGAATGGCTTAAGAAAGGTTATTCATAAATGTTTTTCTATTATTTAGAAACTACAGTCTTATTCTTTAAATAAAAAAAACTTTATCAAAGATAATTGCAGAAGATAAATTTAAGATTACTCACCCATATTTGGCCAGAGATGCTAAAAAGACCAGCCATGCCAGACATTCTAAAAAAAATAAGGAAAATAAGGGCACGGAGTAAGGTATACTGAAAACATAATCCTCAGGCTACATGTTTGCCTCTAGATTACTTTCAATACCTTGCTCTTCCTTGAATTTACTTCCATTCTTACAGGGCTTTGGGTCCCAAGGCAATTATTTAATTCATCCTGCTCATGTACACTAAAATCCCTAATTCTTTCTCTATTATAAATTCTTTCTCTCCATATATATGTTATCTGTAATATATATACTCCACAAGCACAGCAGGTAGGGCCTTTGCCTTGCACACAGCCAACCCGGGTTCGATTCCTCCACCCCTCTCAGAGAGCCTGGCAAGCTACCGAGAATATCCCACCTATACAGCAGAGCCTGGCAAGCTCCCCACGGCATATTCAATATGCCAAAAACAGTAACAAGTCTCACAATGGATACGTTACTGGTGCCCACTTGAGCAAACTGATGAATGGGAGGACAGTGCTATGTCATATATGTTAATATGTATAATTTATATATTAACATATATTATGAATTTTATATATAGTATATATAATATTAACATATGAATGTACATATACACATACACACAAAACCTCCAACCCTGGGTTGCTAAATGTCAGTGGAAAAAAAAACCTCACACAAACAACTGACTTCTCTTCCTACACAGTCATAGAATTTAGTAAACACTTTACCACATTCCACTAGAAATTTTAGACTCTGAGAAGCTAATTCTAAAATATCATGTAGTACATGTTCTCCTATCTCTGAACCTAATTTCACTATTTCTTTAACTTACCCTATCAGTGAGCAAAGACTCCTTGTATGTCACTTTGAAATTAGAAGCCAATATGTGATCTCTCTTATCTTCCTACAACCAAATCTAAGCCTGGTGTATATAGCTGCATCTGTCTTCTTTCATCACAGCTAGAGAAAGTCTATCTCCCAAGGAATCTATTTCCTTCACTTTTGTCCTGGATCTAATCCCTTGGGTCTAGCCAATAATCACTGGTTCTGTTATTTCTTCTTTTGCAGCTATAATTTCTCCCTTTCTACTGGATCATTTCCTTTGGCATAAAAATAAGTTTTACCCTTTCATCTTCTAGAAAATATCCATGGACTTAACATGGAACCCTCTATTGTTCAAGAGCTATTCCTTTACCTTAATAATAATTAAAAAGGATAAATAATTTAAAAAGGAAAAAGATAAAGAGCATACAAGGCCATACTTTTTAAAAAGCAAACATGAAAATATAAAGCTAGGAAAGGCTTTCTTAAATGAATAAATACTAATGTACTAATATGGTTATGAATCAAATATTTAATTACTAGTATACTAATAGCTAGTTAAAACATATTCAGGTAGTAAAAAAAGAAACAGCACACAGGCCGAGCAAGGCTATTTACAGTTGGGATAATCAGAAATGAATTTACAGAAAAGTATAGGATGTGTAGATATATGGTTTGGTGATAGGACACTTTCTATTATATTAATAACAATAATTTAAAAAGTTACGTTAAGGAAGCTGGAGATTTCCATCCAGTCAGAGGCTCAACTGATTGCCATTTCTTCTCTAAGATATAATTCTGCAGATCTTCAAAGATTCCTGGGCCACGGTATCGGCGGAATATCCCATCCTTTGCACTGTTATAAAAACAAGCAGGAAAAAAAATTATAGGCTATTGTATATGTATTATATACCAAAAAATGTAAGTGTTAATACGTTACAAATATGAAATTTCAAAATAGGAAGCCTTAGACATTTTATCACTGTATAGCTTGTGTTTATAAGCACAAAAAAATGTTGTTTTTGGCCATACCCAGGCATGCTCAGGGCTTACTCTTGGCTCTGTACTCTGCGATCACCCCTAGTCATGCCCAAATTACCATACGGGTGCCAAGAACTGAACCTGGATTGACTGCACACAAAGCAAATCCCTATCTGCTGTACTATCTCTCCAGGGTCTAGAGCCTTGACAGAGTTTTACTATTACTATGTTACTTTTTTATTACTTTTTTTACAATGATTTAGTCATTTCACTTAAAAAGTATGTTAGCAAGTTTTAAAAAATTATACTCTCATTTTCAAATTCACATCATGCCCTCAAAATCAACAAAACATTTCCTACTGGCATATTCCCCCTCTGTCTTCTCTCCTCTCACTTTCTTCCCAGATCTCTATTTTTAACTGTTATCTGACTCAGATATGCATTCTCATTACATATCTCCAGTCTAGGTCCCTCTTCTAAGATTTGGATCCTGATCTCAAACTGTCAGTTAAACTTCTCCAATCTGAAAATAACAAAGGAATTTCATACTTTTCCTTCTGGTTTCTAATCTTCCAAGTCCAATCTAATCTACGGCTTCTCAATAGCTTTTACTAGTTAGGAATAATGGTCATCCTAGTATCTCCCTCCCTGCAGTCAGTCAGTCACCACGCCTCAGTGATTCTGCTTTGTACCTATCTCTCGAAAGCATCCTTCCTGTCACTGATCAAGCCTCTCAGGTGACATCACCCAGGAAGATCCAACTGTACTTTCCGGCCAGGCAGAGAACAGCTACAGTTTTCAGGAGGCACAAGAGTTTTTCCTGGGCTTTCCCACATATGAAATCTCTTTCTGTTTTGAAAGGTGTTTCCCAATTTGCTTATGAATTCATATTTATCTATTAAAAATCTGGAGGCTGAAGTAATAGTACAGCAGATAGGGCCTTTGCCTTGCACTCGGTCAACCCGGGTTCAATTCCCAGCATCTCATATGGTCCCCCTAGCACTGCCAGGAGTTAATTCCTGAGTGCAAAGCCAGGAATAATCCCTGTGCCTTGCCGGGTGTGACCCAAACAGCAATAAATAAATAAATAAATAAATAAATAAAATAAAAATCAGCCTATCTTTTATATCATCACAAAAATCTTTGTCTCCCTCCTCGCCACTACTGACTGCCTGAAAGTAGGTTCCTTCTCAGAAGCACCTGTTGGAAATTAACCCTAAGTGCTTTAGGCTTCATCAGTGAATTGCCCCCGTTTCTTCCCCCAGAGAAGCTTAAACAAGTGCTCTTATGAGCACTCCGAATCCCCCAAATTTATCTTGAACCTTTCATTTATGCTTTACCTCTTACTGCTATATTCCCCAAGTCAGTCATGGTTACTTGTAAGTCAAAACTTCTGGTGATCCTGGACTTTGTATTTGAAGTAAATTGCTTTTCTATTTCCCCTTTAACTTTTCATATTTTACTATAGAGCAATGTTCTTTGCTTAAACACAGAAAGACCATTAATATTTGGGGGTTGACTGACTCAATTATATCTACTCCTGGGCATCTGTCAAAATTAGTTGACTCAGGCTTTGGTTTCTGTCGCTCCTAACACCCTATAAGAAGGGTCCCACTGTGGGTCTTAGATAGACCAGGCATCGAAATGGAAGAGTCTAGAAAGCATAAAAACACAGATACAAGCTGTTATGAATTAAAAGATGGGACCTCCATGGGGAAGGACAAGATAAACCACCTTAGGACTTAGTCCTGGATTTACCTACCTACTGTAAAAACGCTTAGCTTTGCACACCCTCAGAGCCGAGAGAACTAGTGTTGGACTCTATATCTCTGTGTTTATCCAAATAACTGCAAGTATTAATAAGAAGTAAACTTAATTGCTTAATATATACAACCGAAGGCAAAGAAAAAAGCAATACAGATGTCCCTGGAAGACAGAGAATCTCCTTGAATTAATCCCAAGAGACTTGGCTCCATCAACAGGCCTTACCTCTGTAAAGGATTAAATACACGTATGTGCAGACCTATACCTCAGATTTCTATGACTATGCTAAAAGCTCTGCATTCACAAGGGCCATTTTCATCCTTCACGCCCAATCGAGGCCATGAGTTGCCCCTCACAAGGGGCTCTCCGGCACAGCCTTGGCACATGGAACCAGAGGCACATGGAACTAATCCAGAGCTTGCGGCAGAAATGTTAATGGACTATGCATTAAGTTTCAGCACCATGCACCAACTCCCTGGGAGGGAAAGGGTGTCTGTCTCTTCCGCCCCCCCCACTCCCCCCACAGCATGGTGGCCGCTGCCTCAGAGCTTATTGGAAAGCCAGGTATGAGCCAGTGGTAATGGGGCAACTGCAGCCTCATGGGAAGGGGGGCAGAACTGGCTCATCCTTCACGCCCTACCGAGGCCACAAGTTGCCTACCCCCCCCCCCCCATGAGTGGCTCTCTGGCACAGCCATGGCACCAGACGCACAGAAACCAATCTCGTAATTATCCGGCTCTTGGCAGAAATCCCTCCAGACTTAATTAATAAAGTACCAGAAATCCAAAATCACATGGCCGTGATATGGTTTTCATAACCAGCAATAGAAAACAAATTATTTCACAATGCCTTTTCAGCAGTTCTGATGTTCGGGGGGTGGGGAGAATTCCAAACAACAATGATGCATCTTTTGTCAAAATAATGAATGCATTCAAAGTTGAGAGAAAGCTAAGTAGAAATCATCTGCCTCACAGGCATCGGGAGGGATGGGAGGGGGGTATATTTGGGTTCTTGGTGGTGAAAAATAATTACTGGTAAGGGGAGGGGTGTTTGATTATTGTATGACCAAGACTTAAACCTGAAAGCTTTGTAACTTTTCTCATGGTGATTCAATAAATAAAAAAAATTAAAAAATAAATGGGCCATTTCACCATCATTTCGTGAGTCCCTGTTTTTTTGTGCCTCTGCTGGGAAAACCTGGCACCCCAGAACCTGAGCACATTGGCATCCTTCCCTTTAAATAGAATCTTTTAAGAAAAATCAGTTTTTCTTTCAAATGTTAAGATGAACGAGTGGTGACAGTGGAAAACATCAGTGTCTTGGTAAAGGGGCCAAGAGACAGTACAGTAGGAGGGGCACTTGCCTTGGATATACACGGCCATCCCTGCCACCCCCTCCTGAGCCCCACTAGGAATAATCCTTGAGTGCTGAACAGGGAGTAAGCCCTGAACACTGCGAGGTGTGGTTCCAAAACAAATAGAAAACAAACAAAAAAGCATTCTGTGAAACATATACTAATTTATAGTGCTTGATAGGTCAGAAAATTTTTTATACTTACTGAAAAAATGCTGGGAGAGTGGTGACAAAGAAGCGGCCACTCAAACCTAATTGAAGAACAACAAAGACACAAAAGAAACAGAGATTAACCAAGCACCCAGCTTAAATTCTTTCTATGAAGTCTCCCAACTGTTTTTATGACCACATATATAGGAATCATTACCAAAGAATAACATTTACTATTTTACTTAAATGAATTTTATTTTTAATCATTTTTATATATGTGACATTTTCCACTTACTGACACAGAACACTTACGTACTTCAGTGTGTTACACTGGAATTTTCTAGCTTTTCTGTCACTTAGAGTTAGTTGAACAATAGCTGAGTGAATATCATTTAAAGTCATGTAACACTGAATAAATACATTAACTATTTACTAACTTGTGACCTTAGAGAAATTACATAAATTTATCAACAAAATGGGTATATTAAAACCTAGCTGAATTATTCTCAAGTTAAATAAAGATTAGTATATTATATGTTGAGCACACAGTAAAAGATATACTAAATTGTGGGTAATGTTATATCAAGTATAGGCTTCGAAATAAGATAGGAAATAGAGTTAAAATTTGCATATTTACATTCATCTGGGGAACATAAAGTAACAAAATAGGAGACTAACATCCGAGATTAGTACCAGGAATTTTGCTCCATGGCTTGGAGGCCAGCCACACATGCTAGGGGAAAAGGGAGCTCAGATAGAGAAGGGAACACCAAATAAAGGGTGTTGGGAGGATCCTCCCAGGATGGGAGAAGCATGCTGAAAGTAGACTACAGACCAAACATGATTGCCACTCAATGCCTCTTTTGCAAATCACAACACCCAAATGGAGAGAGAAAACAGAGGGGAATGCCTTGCCACGGAGGTAGGATGCAAGGTGGGGGGCGGGGGGGGGAAGGGATACTGGGCTCCGTGGTGGTGGGAAATGGGCACTGGTGGAGGGATGGGAATTTGACCATTGTATAATTGAAACCCAAGTACAAAATCTGTAAGTCTGTAACTGTACCTCATGGTATCTCACTAATAAAAATTTTTTAAAAAAATCAAAGTTCAAAAAAAATTGCATATTTATACTTTTTATAAGTTCTTCAAGGAATACGACATACATTAGCTGTCTTGCAAACCTTTACTGAACACTAACTACATATAAAATACTGTCCTGGGAACATGAGAAAACAGATAAATTTTGAAAACCCTACTCAACAAATATTTACAAAGAACTTTTTCCTCCCCTAGGAGATAACTGTTCCACACATGGATAAGCAGACAACAAAAGACAGCTTTTACTTTCACACAACTTACAATCTAGAGGTAGAAGGAAACAATGTAGTCCAATAATTATAATCACAATTATAAATAGTGACAGATAACATCAAAGGAGCAAACCACAAAAACCTGAATGGGACTAGTTATAAAGAACTAATGACTGCTCTTAAATGCTAAATAAACATTTATGTCTTTGTTTAAACACCCTTAAATATCATGGGTAAGTGACCTGAAGAAGGAAAGTTACAATATCCCTTCTTACATCAGGGTGACAGCATAAGGGTGAGTGTACATGCTCTGCAAACGGTGCCCAGGGTCAGTCCTGAAACCACATGTTCCTGATCACTAGCCAATCCCTGAACACTGCCACGTTTTGTTGTTGGTTGCAACAACAAAAATTGAAAAATAAAGCATCCTGGCTATCCTAGAAAATTGACATATTTAATGTATCTTTATTTACTGTAAGTAACATTAAATTTAATGTAAATCACAAATTTAATTTATATCTCATCAGTTTGCTTTTCCCACTAAGGGGAATATCTGTACAAAATAAAATACTGATTGTAGTAATCTGTCTTACATTTTAATTTTATATCTCTACGGCTACCTGCAATTTGAGATATTAAATCTTCACTTTTAATGGCATGGGAGATGTGTTTATAACCACTTTATAAACCAAAATTTATTCAGCAGAACAACTTACTAAGGATGAGCCTTCTTCTCAAAGCTTTGTATATTGTTTCCCGTATCAAACATAAAATTTCCCTACGACACTTAAGCGAAAGCATACTGAAGATAGTAAGAGTTTATGTTACAAAACAAACAAATAAGCAAAAAAAAAAACCACATTTAGTAGGTTCATTTATCATCATACATTAAAAAACTAAATAAAGATTATTCTGAGAGTAGAAAGACATTAGTGTCTTGAGAAGTCAAGAGAGGATTGTTGCAAACACCTCTGAATGGACACTTTCAACCTGAGCATTGTTTGAAATATCATGCTACCAGACAAGAATATCTTCTGAAATATTTAAATTAACAAAGGAAAATTATTGGTAACCCTAAATGTTTAAAAATCATTATACACATTTAACTGCTAGAGCGGTAGCACAGTGGGTAGGGCGTTTGCCTTGCACGCGGCAAACCGGATGACCCAGGTTCAATTCCTCCATCCCTTTAGGAGAGCCCAGCAAGCTGCCGAGAGTATCTAGCCCACACGGCAAAGCCTGGCAAACTACCCATGATATATTCGATATGCCAAACACAGTAACAAGTCTCATAATGGAGATGTTACTGGGCCCACTCGAGCAAATCAATGAATGGGAGGATAGTGCATACAGTGCTATCATTGGCCCTAGCAAAAAAAAAAAAGTGAATCTATAAATCAAAAGAACATTATTTTACTAATTATTTTACACAAACATTATTTTACTAATTTTCAACCTATAATGGTTAAGCTCCCTAAGTTCCAATTTTCTTGTATCATTGTTTTTAATCTTAAAATATAGTTTTTAAGATTAAATATTTGACATCAGAGGCAATTCATCTCAAATGTCACTTCTAAGAAACTGAAATATTTCATAAAGCTCTATGTCTCAAGTTATTTCTCCAAAACATCTCATCCATAATACTGATGCCATGGAGAGACATCAGTTTTATGTTTGATACTGATATTGATGACATTTCAATCTTATAAATTTGGTTGTTTTTCAGTACTTTCTACTGCTACTTTCTTGGTGATAATAACTAACATTCAATAAGCATTTACTTTAGTTTGTAATTGTGCTAAGCACTAAGGTGTTGTCTCCTTATGACAACACCTTTATTATCTGCATATCTCTGTATATCTTAGCAAACTGAGAGAGAGTTTCAACTTTGACTACCTGAAAAGTAGATGACCAACACATTTAAGGTTGTGACATCAGGGATTTGTATACCTTTTATTCTTTTTCTTTTCTTTTTAAATCTTTTTGATTTGGGGCCACATTCAGATGTACTCAAGGTTTACTCCTGGCTCTGTGCCCAGAGATCACTCTCAGTGGTGCTTGAGGGGTGGTGTTACATGGCTGGCCACATTCAAGACAAGCACCCTGCTCACTGTACTACCTCTACAGCCCTGAAAACAAGAAAAGATTTTTAAAAATTATGAAGCTATGAGAGCAGCTTATTTCAAAATTTGAAGAATGGTTCACTGCAACAAGCTTCCTAGAAGTGTAGTAGAAACATATCGTGTGATCGTGTGTGTGTGCGTGTGTGTGTGTGTGTGTGTGTGTGTGTGTGTGTGTGTGTGTGTGTTTTAGGGGCACATCTGGCAGTATTCAGGTTTTACTCCTGGCTCTGTGATCAGGGCTGACTCCTGGAGGTGCTCAGCTGACCATAATAATGCCAGGGATTGAAACTAGGTCAGTCATGTGCAAGGAAGGAGCCCTTAACCCCTATACGATCTTCCCTGTATTATATTTTCTACCCTGCACTCTCTCCAAATTTCTACATGTCCTGTTACTCGAAGAACAATTTATACTTTTAAGTGAAGATTTAAAATTGTACAGGGGCTAGAGCATTAGTACAGCGAGTAAGGTGCTTGACTTTCATGCATATGCCCAAACCAGATTCAAGCTGTGGCATCCAATCTGGACTTCAATCCTTGAGAACTGCCAGGAGTGATTTTTGAATGCAGAGCCAGGAGTAACCTCTGAGCCTCACTGGGTGTGGCTACCCCAAAAGAATATAATGCAATATCAAAAGGGGAAAATAAAAATTTTAATTAGCAAGTTGACAAAAAACATATCCAAATACACATGTTAAAATCAAATGGAAAATTATGATAGGAAACTAACTATACTTTGAGAAAGAATGACATATTGGATATTATTTTTAATTAATACTAAGTAAATTGGACTAGATATTAACTTGTTCTACAAGTTACTAGTTGCATTACCTTGAGTGTATTACTTAACCTTGCTAACACTCAGTTTGCTGAGATATACAGAGATATGCAGATAATAAAGGTGTTATCATAAAGCTAAAATATATAAGTGCTTAGCACAATTACAAACTAAATGCTTATTGAATGTTAGTTATTATCACCAAGAAAGTAGCAGTAGAAAGTACTGAATCATTTCTGCCCAGAGGGGAAAGGGTGTTGCTCCCTTCCGCCCTCCTCCCTCTGGAAAGAAAGATGGCGGCCACATGGGGGCCTTGTGGACAGCAGATATGAGCCGGGGGTGTGGGGGCGACTAAAACCTCATGGGAAGAGGGGCGTTCTGGTCCGTCCTTCACGCCCTACCGAGGTCACCAGTTGCCCCCCGCGAGCGGCTCTCCAGCACGGCCACGGCCCCAGAAGCACAAGGACTTAATGCAGAACCCAGCAGCTTGGAGCAGAAAAGTGAACGGACTCTGCATTGATCCAGGCCATCAAGTCTGCCGGAGGGGAAAGGGTGTTGCCCCATTCGCCCTCTCCTCTTTGGAAAGAAAGATGGCGGCCACATGGGAGCCTTGTGGACAGCAGGTATGAGCCGGGAGTGTGGGGGCGACTAAAACCTCATGGGAAGGGGGGCGTTTCGGTCCGCCCTTCACGCCCTACCGAGGCCACCGGTTGCCCCCCGCGAGCGGCTCTCCAGCACGGCCAGGACTCCAGAACACAGAAACCAATTTCTTAACTATCTGACTTTCAGTAGAAATACTTCCAGGGTCAATAGGTAAAAGAGCAGAAATCCAAAACCAACATTTAATTCTTGAACCCAGCCGTAGAAAGCAAATCACTTCACAATGCTTTTTC